ATTTTCAGATCATTTTTAGATCATTTTTGCTATTACCTCTTTTTATCTGAGAGTAAGAAATCCAGAGTGTTTATACACTATTCCGTCAACCTACTTGCACAACAATGATAGAAAAAGTACCCAAACTAGATCTTTTGTCCAAGTTTGATTCAATATTTAAACAGTACCTCATATCTTACTGAAGAACAAAATAAATCAATCATAGCTCTTTGTTTCTGCACTTACATGAAGCAGACCTTTTTGTTTTATTGTCTTCTAATCGTATCATAACCCCAAAGACCCATCTAAACCCTATTATCCATCCTGCATCACTGACAGCAGCCAAAATGATCTCCCTGTCATCTCGTTTAGTTTCTGAGATTATTTCTCAGACGAGCTGTTATGATGGAGATAACAGCTGCTCCCCCTAATTCTGGATTCATCGCTCTAGTTAATGCGCTCGGAGTCTTGTTATCCATCTAATTATCCGACAGGCTTCCGTAGGGAAAACCACATCCAACGTGGAGGTAAATGAGTTTTATACAGTGAAGGGATTCAGAATGTGCTTTGTTGTTCTCAATTCAAGTCTGCTGCAACACAGCTATGGACGCCATTAAAGAGGTGAAACTTTGGTGGTGAAGATAAAGAAGTCCTGTTTTTGATCGGGTTCTGTATGGAGACCACAGCCTGTCTGTGTTCGGTCACTCTACCCGTCTCTTCTGGCTCCTTCACTCTACCCCAGGCCCTAAAACAGACAAGGCCAATCACAGTGCAGGAGGGCAGAATTACCCATAATGCAAGTTTTTTTCCATAACAGTTAGAACTGTATCTAACTATATCATTAAAACTTTAACAGCCACCCGCTGGAAGAGTTTTCTTCTTAGAAAGACAGTTTATATTTGCAGTGACATAATTGGGTTTTGCTGCCTGTCAGTCCTGCCATGGTCCCTCCCTTCAGATCAGGCTCGACCTGTCCCTTGTTTATACCGAAAGGTCAGCCTGTCTGGCCGAACTACTTTACCCCAAAGTAAATAACTATGCTCCAAGGACAACTCTGATACAAAACTAGACTTATCTCTGACTTTAACCCATCCCCTTGGGGAGGAGTGTTAAGGGTCTTGCTCAGAGACCTAGAGTGGCAGTCTGTGGGAGTGGGGCTTGAACTCAGGATTCCAAGCATAATGTCTCAACTACTAGGCCGCCACTCCCTAAGCAGGCATTAATGCTGATTTAAACACAAAAACCTGGTCGTCTGCATGTGTGTCGCAGTGAATGCAAATTTGCCTCCACCTCTTCTGCAGACAGTGCAGGTGACCTCAGACAGTGTCACTGTTTGGCACCTTACCACCAATGGTGACCACCATTGTGAAAAAATGACTCGTGAAATTGGACCCGCTAGAAGAGCGAGGTGCGCGAGAACGCTGGGACACTTTTTCCACCTGGATCCCCGCTCTTTTTCGCCCTCATGTCCCTCCGTCGTCACACAAACTAGCCCCTTGCCCACAGCTAGTTCCTGATTGTCCCTCTTGCGTTGTGGCATGGAATAACATAGAAAAGACCACACGTCAATATTGGGCATAAATCTAAAATATCTGCAACAAGCTCAGTGCGACACGCTGCTGCGGGGAGGATAAGCAGCCCTTTAGAGTGAAGGGACCCACACTGGCAGCTGGTTCCCCCCCAGTTGGGATAAGAACCCAGGCTTCCTGTTTGCAGGATGGGTGACTTACCACTTGAGCTAGCCAGCCGCTAGCTGTTGAAATTTTAAAGAACCCTGTAACTTTTCGAAACCACCTAATGTATTGATGCGTAGAACCACCTGCTACAGATTCTAAACCCCCTTCTGATCTTAATCTATTGTTAAAAAACAAACTAAAAGGAAACAGGAGAATCTTGATTCTCCTCACACTTTTGTTATGGAATAGAGTTCAAAGTTGAATCTATTACCACAAACAACAACTCTTCTTTGAGAACTCATCCTTCTGAACCATTTGGTCACATGGGTGCAAATAACAAAAATGTATAAACTACTAATAATATCTGCCCTGAGTTCTTTACATGTGTGGAATGTTATCAAATCTCTAAAACAATGGTGTCCAGATTCAGTTCTAAGGGCTGCTATCTGCCATGATAAAATTGTATTACAAGAAAGAAGAAGAACAATAGCTGATTATAAAGCTAAGCTGAGCCAAAAGAAACAATGAAGTAACAGCTTCCTAGAAATGTTGTGGAGTGAAAGTTATAAGTAGTGTTGCACCGATACTGATAGCAGTATTGGGCAGGGCCCCGATACTGCACTAAAATGGTGGTATGGGTGTCGGCGAGTACCGACAAATAGGGCACTGATACAATTTTGAGAGCCATAAGTTTATTCAACTAATGTCACCTGTTCCAGTTAGGCAATAAAAAGTTCTACTGGATTCACTTTGTATTAGTCTTTTTCCTGCTTCACAAAGGTAGGCAGCAGATTGACAAAGCCATGATGGCAATTATTTTACATCCAAGTAGTATGTAGTTATTCATATACACACACACATTAATTTCAACCGAATGGTATCGGTATCGGCCGATACTGCACAACCTGGTATCGGGACCAAAAAACGCTGCAACTCCAGTTATAAGTGCCCTCCCCCAAAACTACAAAAGTAAAGATACTAAAAAAGTAATTAAAGTCCAGTCATATTCAAACTTCTGAAAGTACCTTAAATATGAAATTATTACATACTGTTCAATAAATTATGTTTTTAATTAAGAGTAATTTCATTTCAATGTGCTTTACTGGAGGCATCCATGTTTGTCAAAAAACACGACGGCCACCTACTGATTTGTGACGTCAAGGTGCGGTATCAGCTGTTGAGCAAGTCCCAGTGCTGTATCTGATGTTTGTCACAACGCGCTATTATCCAAGTCATGTTGAAAACATACTTCAAAATGTTCAAAATACTACATGTTTTTTCTCTGGCCAGAAATTCGATGGCAAATCCTCCCTATTCAAGTTGGCGATCCAACGACGAACCCGTTGTGGTTCATGAATCAGAATAGTGAAATAATAATGTTTTTGTTCACTTTTAACCGATGTATTCCAGCATCCACCTGCCATGCATGTGGGCAGATTCACTATAGCTCTGGTGAATTTCAATGGTGAAGTCCTCTGGAAATCTTCAAAAATTGTTGTTGGTTGCAGATGTGTCTAGTAGTTCCCAGTGATTTTGCTTGTAAAGCGGGGAGAATGGCGCTAGGCTTACCGCACCGTGACGTCACTGCAGGAAGATGGCAGGAGTGAGCTGTTACTATATTTTGGTAAAAATGGCCGCTCCCAGACTTACTGATCGCAATGAAAATTAATATAATGTTTTTTTACTGATAAACGCTAAATTCATCAAATCACCATGAACTTATTATTTTTCGGTATATATAATGATCCACTAATTATTCCTTGCTAAAAGGACTTTTCCTTTAAGTACAGTAATCAAGTAAATGTACTTCGTTACTTTCCACCACTGGTTTCAATGCAAACATTTGTCACAGTTTTTGATTAAACAAAAATGAAAATAACATAATTTTACTTCAAATGAAAGGAAATTCAAAGAACGCATATTTAGTTTGTTCTATTAATCCCTTTACAGACGACCTTATTTTCATTCATATCATCAACACATATTTCCCCGGTGGTACCACGAATCCATGGAAAAGAGTCAAAGGAATAGAGATATATACATTCAAACTCAGTCCGACTTAAACGGACTCTTGGTTTATTTGAAACGATGGAAGGTTAGTCACTCAGGAAGAAAGCCCCACAGGTGAATACCTGTCTACTTTAAGAAGCTGCTAGCTGATTTACAAGGGAAAATAAGTCCATTAAACGAGACAGATGGCAGCAGCCCACACCAGTCCAGACGGAAAGAGTGTTAAATATACAGAGACATCCTATGAAGAGTGCAGCGGTATTTTTTCCACTGTTGCCACGGTTATTCTAATGATAATAGACTGTCTCTCACAGACACGGCGTACCTCGTGCCATTTTCAGCCTTCTCTGGTTGCAGCATGACCCAGCAGAGATCAGATAACCTGCACTCCACGCTGGCTTTAGATTTTATAACCTTCATCAGCACAGTTCCTGTCCCAAGAGGATGGCAATAAAGTACAGATATCTTAGTGAGTTTTTAACAAGGCTGCTGACAAACTGAAATATAGAATCATCTCCTTTGTTTTGTTTATATTCAAGACAAGATTATTATTTTAAGAAAATGGAAAGGAGTAGATCCAGGAGTAGGTCGCTTCAGTCTTCCAATCTGTGCCTTGCGTCAAGTAGTCAGTCAACCAGGTAACTGGTTAGGCCTCGACCGGAGCAGTGTTAATTTTGTCAACCATGACCGATTTTGACATTTACTTAATCATATTTAGCTACTTTAACACAATTGTTTCATGTCCTACCCTGCTAACATTAAACAATTGTGTTAAAGCAACTAAATATGATTAAGTAAATGCCAAAAACAGCTGCATTCTTATTTTTTTCAGTATTGAAGCTTTTTGATAAGGGGGGATAAGATGTCTGTGTTAGTGAGAATGAAGAATCTATTCAGTTCATTGGATCCATCCAGACATTCATACTGTTTATCTGATCTTCCAGCTGCCTGTAGCGGCTTATCTTTTTCATTCCTGACCACCCAGCCTCATATGCTATAAAGCTCAGTCTCCTGCTTTTTATTTTGTTTTTATTTTTACAGTCTTATATTTTAAAATCTTTTTTTTTTTACACTCATTCATAAATAGTAACCAGGGTGTCTCTTGTTCAGCAGTTCATTCAGGTCATACATGAAAAGGTTAAAGCGCCATCGAATGGTGGTAAAAAATGCTGCCGCCAGGCTTTTCCACATATTTCCAAATACATGCCCAAAAGGTTATAATTTCAAAAGCACTCAGTCGTCTTAGTTTTGCTTTTTTATATTGATGAATGTGTATATTTTTTATTTTGGTTCCCACACACTTTTATTGATCTACATTTTTTTTCTCCTCTTCAGGCCTATCCACTGAGTTCTCTGTCCAAAAAGCAGCCTACAGTGCTGGTGATCTGTGGTCCCGATCAAAACGGCTCCGTTGGCCTCGTCTGTGCCCGACACCTCAGAATATTTGTAAGTAAAATATAAAGTACGAATATCAGAATAAATCTTTTGAGTCTGAGAAATCATGTGTTAAAACAATTTGTTAAATTGTCGGCTGAGTTATTCAGACTAATGAAAAACAACCTGAATGTTTTCCTTGCATCCCGACTAACAAGGATGGTTATACAATCCCTGAGTGCTTTACAGAATTTCATTTCAGCTCCTGTAAACGGCTTGGAGCTGTTTTCCCATTAGCCTCTCTGGAGGCGCCCTCAGACAGTCCTGATGATATCATGCCATTGTTACTCTTGTTAAAACTCTGCCTCACCACCTCAGTGGGATGTTTGAGGTATTTTAAGCCTCACACTGACTGACATGTCGACACATTTATTTTAAGAGTACTGATTAATCACTTCCAAACATTGCTGATGATTAGGGGATCTTTCCGATTGACATTGTGGTTATCCTGTTTTAGTCCTTGGCTTTATCAGAAGAGAAACATAAAATACTGGTTTCAGGTTTCCAAGGTCTTTGGCTTAGTTTGAAATCTACATAAAAAAAACTAAATAAGAGCCAAATATTTCAGTTTTACAGTCTATGTATGTTTGGGAGCAAATGTGGTATCATCCACTTCCAGGACGTTCTTCTTCGTCTCCATGTTTTTTTCTCTTTGTAATTGATGCTCTTAATCTTGCAGCCGGAATCTTTTTGCATTTTGTCACCAAATATTTAGATGTATTCTATTGATAGTTTTGTTTTATACCTAAACAAAAGTTACACATGATTGCAAAGACAAATAATAAATGTTTTTTTTCCAACAAACCCTGAAGAGCAGGACGTGGATTTATACTTTGTCACTGAATGACAGATTGCCAAGAAGAAAACAATTCCTCTAAGAAAACAACAATAATACCCCTGTCCCAGTGCCTGAGAAACCTGTTTAAACCTGGGAACTATTGGCTTTTAGTGGAAGTGGGAACAACTCACTGACGCTTGTCTAAGGACTCAGCAAGCGGCCCGCGTTAACATCGCCTCGGCTCTGATCGGCATGTTGTGGGAACACCAGAGCTGGGTTTACCCGCTTAGTGACACCATTGAACACAACTTACAGACGCAAGCACACCGTGCCAGTAGCTTCTGAATCTAACAAGCCAAAACAACTCGATAAACATGGATCAGGGCTGGTGAGAGGGATTCATACAAATAATAGAGCGAAACAATAAAGCACACTAACTACACCCTGGCTTCCCTACATGTTGCCGTCCATTGCTTACTTCCTTGATTTCTGTCGCACTGGTGACATCATCAACGCTAACCCAGCATGATGGCATCACAACACACGCAGCTGCTGCCAGCGATGGGTTAGACCAGCTTTCTATGCCAGTGGGAAGGGAGCCAAATGCAGATTCAGCATTTGGTTGATTTGACAATGGACGGACCTACATACAGGCACTCAATGAAGGAACCTAAAATGCTACAGAAATCTCCATGGTGATGATTTTCTAGGAGGAATATTAATTGAAATGGAAGCGAAGTTTGGTTCAAAATGTTTCATCTGCTAGAACGGCCCCTTCATGTCTGCACCAAATGTAGACATTTAAAGTACTGACACAGCGCGGCTGAAAAAACAAATGCATGACGCACCTTTCAGATTTTTTTTCACTGCATAAACCGTTTCTTATTTTTCTTCCACTTCCCAATCAGGATCTACTTTGTGTCTATAACATCAAACCTCAATAAATCAGAGTGAGGAATGTGATTATACCTGAAAAACTGTGAAACGGTTTAAGTGCCTGAGTTATTTGGCAGTTCACAGTATAATTCATCAGTTTTATTTTACCATTTACTACGTGGATACATTTTCATTAGTGTGATTTCTAAAAGAAAATGAAACCTACTGTACAGCGGCCCAACAGGAATTACAGCTGTCTGACTTGAGAAATGGTCCAGATCACTCTTTGTGTAGAAGAGCACATATATTTAAGGTGTGATGAGATCCCCGTCAACAAGATGATGCACAAGTACCAGATCAAGCAAGGCGTACAGCGCACACTCACATGCAGCCTAATGATTCAGAGCCGTACATGTGATTAGACAGAGCATAGAAAGGAGCAGCTGGCTGAAGGTCAACCTTCAAATGTGGTTCACATCCTAGCTAGATGTGTACCATCACCGAGACTTTCTGCTGCACCGTCTGACCTCTTAACTGCCAGATATGAGCAAAAACAATTTCCCCAACAAAGGGATTTTCGGTTCTATTCTATGCTATTCTATTCTATTCTATTGTATTCTAAACACAATACAGTAAAATACAGCACCGACACATCTTCATCAAAGTTAATACTGTATAAAAAGGGAAGCAGATGTTATTGCGTTTGGCTCACTGTAGCACTACATACTAAGTTTATATTAGTCATATAATATATTTATTAAACCACTGTTCAATTAATAAATTGGGATTTAGATTTGTAGTAGATCGAACAAAAAAATTGAAAACTAAAGAAACATTTCTACATGTGGAAATTTTAATTGATTCTGCAAGGAAAATTAGTTTTTAGGCTGTACAAACTTTTAGCAAAGCTGAAATCTACAAGATGCTACCATCCCTGTCAGGTTGTCCCTTAGTCCTTTTAGATCCTTTTAGACATAAACATTTACTGGAAAGATTGCTTTTCTGCACCTTTTTTTCTGGCTATTGGCTCAATTATCTTCTAATTTCAAAGTCAGAGTTATTCAATTTCTCCAAATTTCAAGCGTAGAAATGCCAGATCCACGGACCTATCGATCAACAGTAAAACAGATGAACATAAACCAGCAGATAAAAATAATGCTATGAAATAAAAAATATCAACATTTGCACAATACTAACCTGTTTATGAGTATTGGTTATAGGTATATATATATATTTATTTTATTTTATTTGTTTATTTTATAGGGACAAGTATGTTTCATGAATCATGTCACACACAACAACATTTTAGCTAAGGCTAATTTTCAATGCCTGTCCCCAGTTAGGCTTTTACACAAAACACAGTGACTGTACACAAGAAACAACAGAACAAATTACACACTAAAACATCACAGAAACAAGATCAGGTCAGCTAGATTATTAATGTTCACATGACTGACCTCTCATTAAAAAGTCTTTAAGTTTATGTTTAAAAAGGACCCAGTTTGACTCTCCCTTCAGTTCTGCAGGTAATGTATTCCATGCTTTGGTGCCTTGTACAGTGAAAGCTGATTGTCCAAAGGAGGTTTTGCATCTGGGTACTTGACAGTTTCTACTGTGAGCTCCTCTTGTGACTGAGCCCACAGCTCTGAGAGGAACTACACAGTCACTCAAAACCTCAGGGTTCTGATCGTGCAAGCATTTGTAAACCAGTTTTAACTGAGCAAATTTGACAAAGTTCTCGATAATTCAATTCAATTCAATTCAA